TAATATATAATGAAACCTAAGAAAGAACTATCAACGAATTGTGAAAGAGAGGATGTGGCAGGAGGGGTCTGATTTTCTATTCAATTGCTCTGTAACCAAACAAAATTGAAGGCTATAAAAATTATGGTTTGTTCGAATAATAACAATTTTATAGAGAGGGATGATGGATAAAATAGGAATGATGACATGCTAAGACAAAATGTGTCACGTGGGTAACACTGGTGGAAATTCAGGATTTTTAAAAATATTTCCTTGTAGAATTAAGAACTGAAAACTTATATACTATTAATATATGGATTATTATCCAAGCTGTTATGCTATTCTAATTGGTATAATTTAAAGAAAAAGTATTTTATTAAAATTTTGTTTGTAAGACACTAAATTCTTGTGTCATGCACAGTAAAGGGTACCCAGTGCGATAGGGTTAACAGTATCTGGATGGTGTGATTCGAAATTGAGGAAGCGATCAGTGGCTGTTGGTTTATAGCACACAGATGTCTTGAAACTATTTTCACCTCTTTGCACTTGGATGTCTAGGAACGGTAGTATGTTGTTGTTTTCACATTCCATGGTGAGCTGGATTGATGGTCGAAGACCGTTGATATGGTCCAGGAATGATGTTATGTCCTTGTTATGTTGCCACTGGACAAACGTGTTGTCAACGTATCGAAGCCACACTGCAACTTTAATGCTAGATCCTTGAAGTATTCTATACAGATGTTGGCAATTACAGGTGACAATAGCGAGACAATCATTCTTTCTGTTGATAATATACACCATCTATCTGGAAGGCTATGGTAGTTACACAGGACATGAGCAACTCCATGATGTTATCAGTTTGGATGCATGTTCTTTCCAGTAGTGTGTCATCCATTTCCAGTCTATTCCTCACTACTGTTAAGGTCTCGATAGTTGGTACATTGGTGAACAGGCTCACAACGTCAAAGCTAACCATTTGTATGCCAGGTGTTATGGGCATGTTCTTGATCAAGGAGATGAAGTGTGTGGATTTCTTCATGTATGAGGTTGACTTCCCACTCAGGGGACTGATTATCTTGACCAGGAATGCCAGTCTTGTGTATTTTTGGTAGTCTCTATATGTGTGGTAGTTTGCTGTAATGTTGATTCAACTGTCTATATTGTATATCAGTCAAGTATCCTTTATCCTTGTTTTTTTTCAAGATCTTGGGCATTTTTCAATTGGTCACAGATGTAGGGTCTCCCTGCAGTTTTGTGTATGTCCCATCACTCACTAGGTTGTTGAGCTTGCGAGTGTCTCCTCCTTGTTCATAACAATGGCGGCATTTCCTTTGTCAGCTGGGAATATGATGACTGTGTCATCATTCTTGAGCATCTTGATAGCTGTTTACTCTTCTTTGGACAGATTGGTTGGTATGTTGGCTTGATGGTTGCTCGGCTCATGAGTTTCTCCAGTTTTTGTATGATCGTATGACGGCATTGAGTATGTGATGAAGATCTGTGTCTGATGTTACCTGGAATCTGAGGGTTGACTCAAGATTTGATGTTGATTTCTCTAGTACTCTCTTTCTCTGACAATAGAAGCTAATCCATTCCCTTATTAAAGCACGACTTGCCCTCTCCTCTATTAGTCTGGCTTGCTTGGCCTTGATAGGGATTTTTATTCTTAGCCCTATTGGGACAGTTTTGTTGCATCTGCATCGACATAGGAAGGTGAGGTGATTCTTTACACGTGCTAGGTTGATGTTTAGCTTTTCAAACTTTTGCCAGTTGGAAATTATTTCGAGTCCTTACTGATCTGATATAGTTTTGCAGAATGATTGAGATAAGGAGTTAGTATTACTAGTGTTATAATTATTCGGACTATTATTCTTGTCTTTATTATGTGTATTATTATTTTCACAACATTTCAACCAGTGAATTCTCCAGCCATTTTCAGGTGTCCTCCTGATAGCCAAGTGGTTAGAGTGTCTGTATTCAGGATCACAGGTTCTAGGTAGTTCCACAGAAAGCTTTCTGGTTGTGACGCATACAGAAAAAAAAATCTGGTATATCTCATGACGACAGCTGGAGAATTCACTGGTAGAAACGTCATGAAAATATCAATACACTATAATAAAGATGAGAATAATATTCTGAATAATTATACCCATTAGGAATACTAACTCCTCGTCTCAAATGTTCCACAAAACTATATTCAAATGAAAGGATTAAAAATATGCACCAAAAATAAATTTGTGTATTTCAAGGAAAGTGTAGCCTTCAAAAACAATTTTCAACCTGAAAATGTTCAGCCATTTGCTTGTAGGACTGGTTATTTTTTAATGTCATTATTACTCTGTAGTGTTTCTGTTCAAAATCGTTTTTTCAAAGTGTGATTCCATGAAATTCTCGTTTGGTTTGTTTTTGTTGCTGCATTGAGAAGCCTTTTATGTTCCTTTATCTTTTATTGGTTGTTTAGTTGTACTGATAACAATAAAATTTAGAATATAGCTTTAGCCATAAAACCTATAAAAAAGCTTTAGTTATGTTTCATTCTTTTCATTTAGTTTGCTCATAATAGGTGTTAAAAACGTTTAGATTTGAAAGTAAACCTATATCTTAAACCAAAATATTACCACAATTTTTAATACTGTGGTCATGATATTACCTTAATTATTCAATAAATAGCCATTGAAACATGTTGCATCATATTTCAGCATTATCATAATTTATGTAGTAAAACTTCTGTCAACACACACCAAGTAATAGATTAAACTTGAACGGATTTCTTCATGGAAATTTTATACGTGGATATAGAAATTCACATTTATTTTTACTCAAGTAACAGTTATACATACATATATATGTGTATATTTACTGGGAGGGCTCCAGAGAAACATTTTTATATTTAATTAATAAACTTAAAAGATTTTTAAAAGCACAGTAAACATTAAGATAAAACTTTACTTTGGTACTTAATTTTTGAGTTTATGTTTTAAGTTTCTAGTACACATGAGATATAGCTTTTCACTAATTTCTTTTATAAAGTCCTGAATCTGAGGTGCTCTTTGGTTGTTTTATGTTAAACTTAATATAGAAAAATGAAGTCACTGAGTTAGTGTGACAGTCACAAAATGAAGATAATTCTCAAGAGTTCAGTTGAGGTATTTGACATGTGTTTGCATTTAGCATATGACTGGTTATATAAGTATGTTGATAATGGTGGTGATGTATGTAATGAGTTTTAATTTAATTTTGTGGAAGATAATTATATGAAGTATAAGCTAATAATTTGTTTATTTTTGTAAATCTATTGACATTATAAGTTGCTGTAAGGTAGTTGATAATTGATGTGTGAAGTGTTTGAAAGTGTTACATAACTTATTTTTAATTTGAAATATGTATTCCTTATATACCTTATGGACAAGCATTGTGATCTCATTTTTCAGTAACTTTAATGCCAAAATATTCTGAATTCTGTACATCAGCTGACACATTGGTCATTGGCATAATCTAATTAAATCATTTAAATGAAATAATGACAAAAACAATTATCAAAAGATTATGTGGTATGGAAATCTGAAAATAAATATATTTGAATTTGATTTATTTTGTTGTATAAAGAGGTGACATTCAGCTCTGTGAATGGTAATCCAGATCCCATTCCAGAAACTCACCCCTTGCATGAGGCTCCAGAACTAGCAGAACTAAGGACCAAGTCGTATGTGAACAACCAAGAAAACTTCCAGGACCCAGAATATTCTCCAAACTTTCAACGAAATGAAGGTAATGTTCATTCATGTATTTCCCACCAGAATCTAGGTGGCTGATTGCCCTACAGCAATCAGTTTTATTATGAAGTACACAGGAACTGTTGAAAGAACTGTCTGCTCTACATGTATGTTTTAAAAGTCCTACTATTATGTTTTGTAATTCTTGTATAAGTTTTCAAAAAATGCATTTTTGAATTGTTCATTGCTGTTAATTGCTAATTGGTGCTATGAATAATGGTACAGAATCACTTTCACTCTTGCCAGTTAAAACACTTCTTTGTACTTAGCTGCTACCACTGTAACAGTAGTGCACTAAAATTAAAACAAAGTGTATATGTATTGAAAAACATTTCAGCATCTAACTGTGATAATGAAGTCACTATAAATGTTTTCTCTTTATTTTTGTTAATTTTCTAAAACGTTTGATATATTTTTTTTTTTAGATATGCCAAACTTTACATTAGCTGTTTCAGTTCTAAATCCAAAAATTGATTAAGGCTTGATTTTGTACATCTAACTGAACATCAGTTGTATCTGTATTGTTCAGATATTTCTTGCCATTTGCTAAGAGAAATAATATGCATCTTTGAAGTGTAAGACAATTTCAGAGGTATATTCACCCAAGTACAAACAATACTTACAACCACCTCGGTTGTAGTAAATCTTTTTGGTGTAAAGGACCAAACTACTCGTAGTCGGCCTTAACTGATTGTTCATTGCTGGATCCAGTTAATTGTTGATTAAATCACAAGATTTCACCTAGTTTACTTGTGTCATAGTTATTGATATCACAAAATCAGATCCTGTCAGTCAATTTATAATGGTTAAATTTACAATTGTAATTCCTTGAGTGTTTTTTTTTTTGTAGAGTGTCTGTTTCATTATACTGTTTTAGCAATAAAGGACTTGATATCCGTGTACTTTCACCAGATATCAATAAAGAAGGTGATCATAGTCAGCTATAGTAGTAAGCATCAACTATTTCTTTATGACATTGATAATGTTTTAAAATAAATTTTGCTATAAGCTTTAAGAAACTTGTTTGAGAAAAAGTTTAATCAGTATTGGGTACATAAGAACACAGAGACTAGTTTGTAATCAGGATATCTTTACTCCCTAGTGATGGTAATACATTCTTTTGGTATGTAAGAGCTCCAATACTGGTCCTTGTTTAAGTATTCAGTATTAAAGTAGTGTTTAATTGTTATAAAACACTTGAAGTTGAGTCAAAGCTTTCTTTGTAGATGAAGTGGATGCAATAGAAATGGCTCCATTGAGACCCTCATCTTCACAGGAGTTAGAATGGGATCCTGCTGCTGATACTGATCTTATGGTAAGGAATTGTAAACTGCCAGCAATCATCAATTCCAGTCAGCTCTGGAATGTAATCATTCCAGTTTATGTGCATTTCCTGTATCTTTCTGTATGCACATACATGTTTGTTTGAGTTTAGAAATCCCTATCATGATTCATGATCCATAAATGACAAAAGCAATTTTTACATTGTTCAAATAATGATATCCCCCCCTTTTTTTTACTTTATTGTAGAATATAAGATGCTAAATTAACTGGTAAAAAATGCTACAAAATTCATTAGAATATTTCTTTTAATTGTTTGTGTACATATTCATTCTGCTCTACACCTAGAGATATCACAGACGAATGAATTTTGGAAGTTGTTAGATTATTCCTACAATTTTGTCATGGAAATGATATAGAAAAGAAGTTCCCAAACTGAGGTCCATGCACCCCTCAGTATCTATAGATTCATTAGTTAGCAGGATACTAAATGTTCTGAGAAAATTTGGAAACTTATGATCTAGAATGTTCTCAGGTGTTCAATGTTAACCAAGTCTTTTTGTCACCTAATGAGGTCAGTGAAAACTATTTATGAAAATAAAAATGAAGATTCCATTGCTACTGTGATACGTGATATGGTGGGGAGTGATTGAGTGTGTGATTTACTGTAATTTTCTGTAAACAATTTACTGTAAACCTAATCTATTATGTATAGATCTTTTTAAGAGATAAATTCATTATATCCTAATAACTTTCCATATGGTCATCCTTTTCTGCACATGTCACAAGATCTTTATAATAAAGTACTTTATTATCATGGTATACAAATAAACTTGGCATCAAAACATAGCTAATGATCCAAATTTTATTATATAAGTTTTATGTTCTTAAATTTTAAGACAATATTTAAAAATATCCTTAATATCCCCTAGTATGAAAATTGTGACATTTGCTTTCTATGTATTCCCTCTTCTCTAATTTATTTAACACCTCTCTGAGAAGTATGAAAGTTAACATAGATTACTCATTACAATGTTGTCATTGCTCAGGCAAAGCATAGTTTTTATAGCCTTTAATCTTATTAGCTTTCAGAGCCATAAACTACAAAATCAGATCCCTCTAGCCACACCCACCTGTCACATCCTCTCTTTTACAAATTTCCAGTAGTTCTCTCTAACATTTTATACTGTATTATTTATAACCTATAGAAAGCCAAAGTTTTAGTCTATCAAATGACATATCATATTATATTATATTGTTCTCTACAGAGAATTGCTTGTTTTACCTCCAGTCTAAACTTTATTCCCATGGGAAACACATCAATGTGCTTAGATGAAGTTTTAAAGGCTCTTTATGCATAATTAGAAAGCCAGAAATGTTATGGTAGTTAGAGGACATTTTCTACTTTATGCATGTTGTTGTTCTGTGTTTTTTGGTGCATTATTTAATTAAATAAAAAATTATTATCATTGTCTGGGTTACCAGTAATATAAAAATGTAGGGTTAAGTTTCATCGACAGTCCACAGCAAAAACAAAAGACCCAGGTAAGTACTTTCTTTCTTGTTTTTCATGTGTATTTTTTATTTATTATTATAAAAGTAACTAAAATGTAATAGTTAGAAACTTCTTAGGGTAAATAAGGTTAGATGAGGTAAAGTAAGGAATAATAATCTTTCATGATGTATGCTTATGAGCAAGTTCAGATTAGTCTGTGCATTATGTAATTCAATAGGGTAACATGAGATACACGTTCTCCAAATGATTTACAACTTGTGTGGCGGAAAGATTAGTTAGATACAGTTCAAAGGGCAATGAAACAATAACATTTAAGTAGAAACAAATTTAAAGCTATTTAAGATAAGCAAATATACTTTCATGTTACAATTTGAAGTCATTCTAGAAATAAAAAAAAAGGATTTATAGCGGTTATGAGGTCAGTTAAATTGATCAACCTCGTATAGAGTTGAGGTAGAGAAAACAGCACATAAATTATAAAGTTTTACTGAAACAAAATGTTTGAAAGTTATTTAGGAGGTCTTAGAGATTATGCAAATAAAATTTGAGAATTTTCAGATGAGGAAAAGTATTTTTAATCTTGACATGAAAATCACTTTGTGCTTGGAACAGTCAACACTATGACTCCGTGTATTCACGAAGAAAGTTTTACTGAAACTACTTCATTAATAATTCCGATTTTTTTTGTGTACAATTGACTTAATAATTGCTAAAACTTGTAAAATTTCTTGAAGGTACATAAAACATATTATAATATTGAAACAATAAAGGTCAATTTGGGTCACAAATTTGACTGCTTCAACTGAGCCCATAGTGAGAGTGATAATACTTCATGTTTCAAATTTTATTGTGCTTTAAAAATATTATTAGTGAAAAAAAAAGTGGTAATAATATCAACTTAAATCTTGACTTAATATAGAACAGTAGGACTGTAAAATAATCATTTCAGAAATATAGCAAGTGACAATGGTTATCTTGAATGTTTGTTTATTTGCTCAACGGTATTCATTGAAGTGTTTCATGTATTGGTGCTGATGCTTCTAATGTCTTTTAGGTTACGCGGTTGTAACCAAATTTTATTTCACAGGATTATACACTAGAATTCAACCGTTGTTGATGGCTGATGCATAATTTTGAGGTCTAACTTTAAAATGGTTTTTGGTTATTAGTTGAATGGTTGGTAATATCAAGCTTTGAGTTCGGTTGAAAATAAAATTAATAGATTTAACAGACTGTCAGAATAACATTTGATTTAATATGCTGTTCTGGAATTCAAGTCTCTTTTGGTTTTTATTTTGACGTTTTTATTTCTGTGTGTTGATCAAGTGAAATTTTTCTGCACATTTCCTAAAGTTGTTATACCTTTTGTTAAAGTTAATAATAAAACTACTTGAATATGGCCAAACTACACATTTTTGTTTTCTTATTAGTCCGTTGCAGTTTGATTTTTATCTGATAATTCTGTTCATCGTAGACATGCATGTATGTTTTTATTTTTTTAAACCTTATTTACTACGAAAATGTAAAACTGAATTTTGATGTGTGTAAACAAATAAAACATGTTAAGCCATTGTATTTAATCTTTGAAAAAAAATGTAATTTACATGTTTATATATTTACGCACACACACACACACAGACATTTCTTGTATTATTGAATAGACAATGGATGAAATGAACACAGAGGAACCAGAGGAAGATGATCAACAGGAAAAAAACTATCCAATCTCTGACAGTGCTGTACCACTAGCATCAACGAGCGAGGTAACCCTAAATCAGCTGAGCCAACTATAATCTTGTTTCCTATTTTCCATAATCAATGATTGATGCACAGAGAGGAGGTTGTATCTTGCATGATTTTTTGTCTTGCATGGAGCTTAGGAACCAATTTTAATAAGTAGTAGTAGTAGGAAATTTTCTGTGTATTGTGAATTTTTGTACTTTTCTTTTTTCAATTTATTTTCAGTTTAGTTTTTATGCTTATTACAATGTAGGGTCTACATCTATCTTATTAATCCAGAAGTTAATATATATATATATATGTGTGTGTGTGTGTGTGTTGTAAGACTAGCGTTGTGAAAATGGACGATTCTAATTGTGCTATAACCTTTGTGGTGTTCCGTCCTTCATGAGATAACCAAAATGAAAGTATTGTTACAAAAAAACCTGCATAAAAACAGTTCAAATGATTATTTGCTATGACGAAAAGATATTCTGATTTCAACCCCAAAATCATGTGAAACAATGGTGTAGAGCTAACAGATTTATATAACAAATTTTTCTATTTAGAACACTGTATAAAGATGATTAGAAAATCATTAGTTATATTATTAATGATTAATGCTGTAGATATCCCTTTCATGGAAGTAACTTCAGGTTTAGCAAAATACTGGGAAGAAAACCATTATAAAAGAATATAAAAATTCAAGAGAATTTAGAAAAGTCAGAGTACTTGAACTGAAAACAGTCTGGTTCATTGTTTTGAGAGCCATTTTTAAAAGTTAGCCAGTACAAGAATATATATCTGTCATTATGACATGTTAAGGTGTAGTGTTATTCGTCCATCATTTTGGTAGGAGTAGTATACTGAGTATATATATATATATATATATATATATCTGTCATTATGACATGTTAAGGTGTAGTGTTATTAGTGCTGTTTACTTCAACTTATTATTTATTACAACTTTAGATGTGGTAATATTATAGTTTCTGTGTGTTTATCACTTGTGTGGTTGTAATGTTGTTCACTTCACCATGAAGCTGTTTATTACAACTTTAGATATGGTAATATTATAGTTTCTGTGTGTTTATCACTTGCGTGGTTGTAATGTTGTTCACTTCACCATGAAGCTGTTTATTACAACTTTAGATGTGGTAATATTATAGTTTCTGTGTGTTTATCACCTGCATGGTGGTAATGTTGTTCACTTCACCATGAAGCTGTTTATTACAACTTTAGATGTGGTAGTATTATAGTTTCTGTGTGTTTATCACTTGCATGGTGGCAGTGCTGTTCACCTTCACCAAGATGCTGTTTATTACAACATTAGATGTGGTATGGAATTACAACTGCATACATGTTATTACAGTGCACCATTGCTAAGTTGTAAAGTGAAGTGTTAAAGGAAGTATGTTTAATGACCTATGAACAAACCCAGTGAATCACATAAGAAAACTGTCAACTTTGTTCACAAACACATGATAATTTGTTTCTGTAATGTGATATGTAATGTCTTATTCATTAATATCTAGAACAAGAATGTCAAAATGTATTGTAAAAAAAGAACAAACAAAACCACAACTCTTATTTTCTACTTTTTCATATTTTTTGGATCATCTTTACTGCAGTGTACAGTAAAGTTCATATTCATGAAAGAAGTTATTCAATGCATTGTATATTTTCTGTTGAGTTCATAGCAGTTGAAAATTATAAACAACTATTCCTTAAAAAAATGTATTCTGGTGATAGTATTATTGTGGCTGTTTTATAAAGAAAGTGAAGAACCTCTGTTTATGTGGTAAAATTATAGTTATAAACAATAAACCAAAATCAAAAGTATTGTCATTTCACATACTAAATGAACAGCAGTCACAATGCAATCCCTGTTTAGTAGGCAGTATTAGTAGAGCTGGTTTCTAGACCATGTGGGAAGCTACATGTAGAGGCAATGCCTGCTTAATAAATAGCAGTCACAGTGCAATGTTTGTTTAAATTCAGTATTAGTAGAGCTGGTTTCTAGACCATGTGGGAAGCTACATGTAGAGGCAATGCCTGCTTAATGAACAGCAGTCACAGTGCAATCCTTGTTTAAATTCAGTATTAGTAGAGCTGGTTTCTAGACCATGTGGGAAGCTACATGTAGAGGCAATGCCTGCTTAATGAACAGCAGTCACAGTGCAATCCTTGTTTAAATTCAGTATTAGTAGAGCTGGTTTCTAGACCATGTGGGAAGCTACATTTAGAGAC